TTCTATATTTATTCTTCCACAACCCTTACACTTAACACCGGTAAAAACTGAAACTGAAAATCGTAACATTTCGTCGGGCTTCGCGAAGCTGCAATATGCGATCAAATGAAACCAAACAGTACTGAACAATTATATATTTACTATAATGGCAGTATCATAATTATTTTAGGAACTTATACGTTCTCACATTAAGAATACAGCACAACCATATTCTCAAATCGAAATGTTACGTTTTGTCGTTTTCATTTGAATATTAGGTTGTTTAAAACAGAAAGTAGTTCATTTCCAAAATAAGTATATTGTAAAATTATATATCATCATGTTAAAGAGGAAATACTTTCCAAATAAAGAGAGAATGCAATCTCAGAAGTAGAATTTGTAAACAAGACTATTTATTACAATGAAAAATCTGTCTTAAATATATCATATTCATTTTTTAAGCATATTCAAATTCTTCATTTAACAATTCTTAAATTTAAATCGAGTAGAAAATATTGAAGATGTCTTTATCCGTTGTCTTTTTCTTTCATTTTCTCATCCATTCATACAAGTCAATGGTCAACATTTTTTCAGTTAATGTTTTGTTTTCCATATCTTTTTTTAATTCATTCAATTATTCAAATTTTTATTTATTTATTATTTCGTTCGAACTTGATTTTGTATATTACTCTACTTCTATCTTATGGATGGATGGATCTGATGGATACTTTTGTAGGCAGTAGCTTTTGTTTGTAAAAATGAAATTTCTTGGCTATGCGGATAATTAAGGCGGCACCGGCAACGTCGCGCGTGGCTTTATAAAAGGAGTGGAGCGGCATCAATCTGTGCATGTCTCTGGTCTGGCAATAATAGTCAGGACAGTGAACACGGGAAGGCGGAGCTGAGATTGGAGCCAATAACTGAATGTATATCGTCCCCACTATACCACCTCGTCCTGTTATAATAGGCTTGATGTCCGTTGGATTAAAATTAAAATTCCGTTCTTGGTATTAGGCAGTTTGGAAAATTGAACTTTGCCGCTTTGTGTTTAGTTAACGAGTTCATTTCGAATTGGATAAACACTTTTCTGAAAAATTATTTATTTACAAAAGAATTGTTTAATTCAGCTACATTTAGGAATAATTAAATCATTTTTTTAAGCCGAAAACTTTTGATAGCTTGCAAATTTTTTTGTTTGTTCTAGGTGGAAGAAAAATTTGAGCTTTGATATGATCATAAAAATAAAATTATATCTAATTTTGCAATCTATTAGAGAAATGCAACAACTTAACATTAGTTCATAATGACAATCGAACAATTGCAACAAAATATTTCCATTGTTTTATTTTATTATTTGTATTATATTTATATTTTAGTTGAGAATTTATATATAGAGTATGTATTATGTAGAATATTCACTACTCGGATCTTCTTTTTTGCGATATTTGCGTAAACAACATTTATTCTGAAACAATAAATTGTAGTACATTTTATAATACTATGACTTAAGATAAATTAATTTAGTTACAAAGTGTTTGTGTCACTGTAAAATATGGCCAAATTGTTTCCCTTGCTTATATATTTAAAAATAATAATTGAATTAAATTAGATTTACAAAAATTAACAGGGAAAACTAATTACCGTTCGCTTAGATATCTGCATTGAAAGAGAAAAAAAAAGATTGTTATTTCTCTTATATCCTTTCCAAATATTTAAACAAGTTGCCTAATTTTAAACAATTACCTAACTATTAAATGATTACATGATGATATTTACAAATCTCCTGAATTATTTCTGCATCGGTTGTTAATAAATAGAACTTGCTCAAGTTATCCTGTCAGCTTTTTCAGAGCTTTTTCAGATTATTTTTTTTTTAATTTTCCAATGTTATCTCTCTGTATATAAGAGTATTTCATATCTTTCAGCAATACTGGGTTGTCCGGAACCCCGGCACCGCTGGAATTAATACTTTCAATCTAATTGGGCCCAAATAAGCCTTATGCTTATAAACAGAATGTCAAAATTTATTAAAAATTATTAATATATGTCAAACATTATATGTATTTAACGTATGGACTAAACATTTGTTTTTACTTATCAAAATTGTCATATCATATTGAATAAGCTGATATTTGAGAATTTAGAAAATTGTGATTGAAAAAAGTATTTATATTTAGATTCCTATAAATGAGATAATTTTCACAAAAATATAGCTGCAATTTTTTTAGGAATAAGTCAAACTTTCCGAGTTTAGTCAGAATTTATGAAAAGTAAGTCAAAATTTCTGGAAAATATGTCAGAATTTCTGACTTACGTTATGATTTTTGAAAAATAGTCAGATTTTTTGGAAAACAAATTAGATGTTCTGACATAAGTATCTCATATGGGCAGTAACACGCAAAACATCTAATATACACGATGATTCATAAAGAAATGGCAATCTCTAAACTGGTATTGGTTGTCAACATATTGATGTCGCTGGATTCAGAGATACATAGTGTATTCTAAATTTTCTCATTAATTGAAAGTTCTAAAAGTATAATAAGAAAAATTGTTGGTTTAAGATTTTGTTAACATGGGAATTACGAATGTGAAAGTATTTGGATCTTGCTCCTAGAGGGCGCTAGTTTCACCATAATATTTGGATAAATTGGATAATGTTTTTTTATGTATCGAGTTATCAATAAAACATGAAGATAATCTGGAAGAATATTTAATTTACCTAAACGAACCTTCCATTTATTTGCAAAAATGCCAAAAATAAGCGTAAGTCGTTTTTAGAGATAGTAAATTACGAGAAAATTTACACATGGATGTCGATGAATTAATTAAAGGGCAACCTTTTACTTCAAAAAAGCAGTCAATAAACATGAGTCCTTGCAGCACAATATAACTCTTTCAGTATTGAAGGGATCTTTTGAAAATATTTGTAGCAGAAAATAACTTGTGAGACTTATTCTTTTGCTAAGGTACATTTTTGTATACACCTCGAAATGTCGGTGCGTTATGTAAGAAAAAATAAACTTTTGTTCTATTCCTTGCAATGCAAGTGAGAAGGTTCTGTAAAATTTTAATACGGCAGTAATTTTTTTAAAATATGCGGGGTTGCTAGCAATGCTATTGCATTTTTCAGCTAACAACATTCATTTCATAGCTTAATATAATCATAGAATGACTTATAATAAGCAGTAAATTATTAGAATTAAGTCAAAATATATTTTTTTGTATTTTAAAAAAGAGTCATTGATTGTTCTAAGAATATTCATAAATCTGAGTAACACATAGGTATATCTGGTATGTATGAATCAATTTTATAAATATTTATTGCCGAATATTTGCTAAAAAATCTCAGAACAACCTGTGAAGAATATTCCCCATTCGCCATAACCTTTGAAAATTCTGCAATATTTCTATGCCAACATTGAAAGAATTACTCGAGTTTGCAAAAAATTAACCAATATATTTTCTATGGATATTAAACGCCTGTGTATCTCTAAACAGCTGAGCCGCTCAGTTCTTGTTTGAAATATGAAATATTGTGCCGATACATGTCTCTCACGCATATCCCACGCGTGCTCCATGGGACTTAGGTCCGGCGATTGCCCATGCCATGGTAAAAACGTTGTCACTATATGTTCCAAAATGTTTTCACGATACTGCCCAAACGATAGCATGCTCCCTTGATACCTGTAGATTTCTTGAAAAGTTTTTAAGCGACTTACATTTGTACGTGTTGTCCAAACTCTTCTACTTCTCTAGTCTCGAGGAGTTCCATTCTTATCTAGTTCGCCGCAATGGATCTGTTTCTTAAAGTTTGCATTTGGATTGGTGTAACTCTTGTATATATGTATGAGTTCACTCTAGCAGTGTTAAAATTATTAATAATTTTTTTTCACAATTTAACTCTACCACGTTGAGCTATTGGTATGCCGCAGCTTAGGGCAACGATATTAGGGATGTTTGGGCAAGATACAGGGCGCAGAGTGTTCGAAGTGTTTTCGGAGCGCGAGCATTGAAGATGCCAAGTGAGATTTTGGTGAAACGTCTGCAGGATTCCAGTCGGATGCAGGATTTGCAGGATTCCAGTCGGAGTTCAACGAGCGAACGGATGATATCCCGGAATATAGTGTCATCACATTTTTCCATCCGTGAATCAATACGTGAGAATATATATATATATATATATATATATATATATATATATATATATATATATATATATATATATATATATATATATATATATATATATATATATATATATATATATATAGCATTTGTGGTTTTCCCGTAAAATCCCGGAAATGTCAGAAGTGGCTCAGATCCGAAGGAAACGAAGCTGACGTGGTAAAGGGACGCTTTTCGCACGCTAGATCGTTGTGTAATTAGGCATTTTACAGACGGCAGTAGTAAAAGTAAATTTCGGTAGTCTTTCGGTAGTCTTTTATCTTTACCAAAAATTATAAGTTGCGTCTTATTTTCGTTATATCCGCGCTGTATCTCTTACTGTTTGCAATATCCCCATGTACTCAATCTTAAACTGTATAGTTAAACGAGCTCATTCCAGCAGTACGTAAAAAAATCCCTACGAATCCCGACCCATCATACCGAAATTGCAATCAAACTCGCATCGAAATCGACTATCGCGATAATAGAAAAGCGGACGTTGAAAAAAAAGAGTCGTCGGCGGCGGCGGCGGTGACGGCACACGCACAGCGTCCAAAAATCCATAAATCTGCTATTTACAATTCCCATTCAATTGGCAATGAGGGCGGCGTCGTCGCTCGCGTCGCCGCCCCCCTTCGCCGCTAAGTACGCGTCGCTTAAAGGCGAGTCGCGTCGCTCTCTCGTCGTAGACTCCGCCCCTTCTCCGAGCCGGTATCGCAGTTATCACGACCACGACCGGCAATATCAAACAGTTGTCAGCTAGCGAGCTCGAAACGGAGCAGTTCCGGATGATCTTCGTTTAGCTCGATTTGATTTTTTTTAAAAAGCCCGCGTTCGCGATTTGTTTTCGGATTTATTATTTTCGTTCTATGATTGAGTGGGTGCAAACATGGCGTTAGAGTTGAGCTGTCATTCGACGATGCCATTGGACTTTAGCAGCAATGGTTCGAATCGGGAATCGAGCAAAAGTCCGGAAGTGAACGTGTCCGATTCGGTTCCCGCGAGTCCGACGGGAACCGGGAACAGCGCTTTTACCGTCGTCACGCCGAAAGGACGGACCAAAGGTCAGTGGTTTTTTGCGCCGACGGTCGCGCTTTAAATTTACGCGGCAATTTCAAATTATTTTGGTTTAAGTTTCGTCGTGTATATGCGATACTTTAAGCGCTATCGTTATTATTCGAATAAAACCGATGTTATATAAATTTATCCTTTATTCGGGAATCTTGAATAATTTAGAAAAAAAGTAAAAAAAATCACAATGTTTTGTTTTAATAATTAGCTACCTATGCAGAATGTATAAAAAAGAATGTGATAAAATTAAGGGAGATTTTTTGTTCAAAAGAAAGGATAGTTTGCTGCATAAATTTGATATCAAAAGCGAGCCACCAAAGGGATATCACGCGAAAAAATAAGATTTTAATTTTTTATCTTAAGGTGCAGTCAAACGGCTGTGTTTTAGTTCCAACATTAATCAATTATCTTCAAAACAATTATATTTAAAAATGTTTTACAAAAATATAATTTATTTTCTTATCTTCTTATGCATTGCTTTTGATTTTATTTTTTAATTTAGAAATGATAAGTATTACGAAAAACTGCAGGAGAAAAAAAGGATTTTTAAATATGACTTAAAAGAAAAAAATGAATTTTTGTGTCATGGCTCAAGTGTTTCCTTAATTTTAGTTAGTGGTTAGTGGTCCAAGTCAATCCGTTCAACTAATTTAAAACAAAAAATATGCAGAGATGCAAGATGAAAAATGAAAGCATTATTTTTCTGCCATGTTTGTAGCGCGATATCTCCCTGACGGTTGGCTTTTGGCCTTATGTTTCTATAACAAACTAACCTTTATTTTAATCAAAAAGTTTTTCGCATTTGTTTTGAAACACCCTGTATAACGTGTAATGTTGGTTTGTTTTACATAGAAGTGTCCGCAAACGCTTCTTTTAGAAGATGACTCTGTAAAAGGGGTACCAAAAAATCGTTTTTTTTTTATTATTTCTGAAACAGTCTTAGATATCTAAAGGAAGAGTAAATTGAAAATGCCTTTAATGGGTTCGTAAAAAGGACTGATGTCATAATTTTCAATATTTTTACTTCGTAGTCAGATATAATCAGTATCGACAGAGATAATTCAGTCTCACGTATGAAAATTGCTGAAAACAATTCATTAATATAGTTAGCATGATTTGCTAGAATCTAAAATAACTTATCTTGAAGTTTTTATTGTTTACAATAAAAGGACTGAACACTCTTTAAAAAAATCTTAGTGCAGTTTATTAAAATAAAATTAGTGAAAAATATAATAGGGTAAAATAAATGCAGATCAACGGAACAACGCCGTTGCTTCGTTGAGAGTTCTTAAACGACTATCTGCAAACTGTCCAATAAATCAAAAAGGCATAAAAGTAACAGCAACCATTAAATAGCAAAATAGCAAATTTATGAGTCTTCGTAAATTTCAACAACTTCAAACCAGTTGGTTTTTTTTTTAATTTGAAATTGTTGAAAAGATATTATTTTTGCAAAAAAAATAAAAATAAAAATATCCCTTTAGAAACAAAGTTTGGGGGCAAAATAAGCGGCATCCGATACTTGTACACCTGAACAAAATAGGACCACAGCTCAACGGTTTTTTTTTTTAATTTAAAACTGTTGAAAAGATATTATTTTTGCAAAAAAAAAAAATCCCTTTAGAAACAAAGTTTGGGGGCAAAATAAGCGGCATCCGCTACTTGTACACCTGGTTTATGGCTACCTTGTTATATGGCGGAAAAATAAGGCTTTTATTTTTTGTCTTACTGTGCTGTCAAACGGTTGTGTTTTGGTACCGACTTTTATCAATTATCTTCTAAACAGCTAGATTTAAAAATAATTTATAAATAATAATAATAAAGCAATAATATAATACTTTTTTTATCTTGTTGTGCGTTGTGCATTTCCTAATAAGACATAAAATAAAAAATAAATATTTATATAACTGCATAAGTTTTTCCTCAATTTTAGTTAAGAAGAATGGTAGGGGTAGTCTAATTCAATCCCTTCAACTAATGTTAGGGACAAATCGCACGTTCCGGCAACGTCGCATATAACCGACACCGCAGCATCATAGCTGAGTGTGAAATTTTTACGTTCTATGTTGTATTCGAGGTCTGTGTTCGACCCGGGTTCATGCCCATATATGGTCAAGAGTAAATCTCGCAATGGCAACACTTGTGTGTTTGATTTCAATTCAAAAATCACAAGAAAATAAGCTACGAATTTAGAGTTGTAACATTAAAAATTATCTAAATTAGATGATCGTTTTTTGAAACACCTTGCATAGACTGGTATGCTTACTTCATTATTAGATATAGTGTACGAATTAAAATAACGTATGGTACATACACGGAGCCGCAATTTAGTGTAACAAAGTACCATATCTCTATTATATACCTCTATTTCGAAAAATTATTTTTATAAGAGTTGCATAGAATCCAAAGATGTATAGTTTAAAAATATTTTAATTATTAATTATTTTTAATAAAAAATATGTATGTTCCATGGAACACCCTATATATTTTTCTATATTTCCCCCAGGAAATGTTTATATGACGCCCTAATTATTTTTTATTTTGCAAAAAATTCTTTATTTATTAAAAAACAGCGCTGTCTCGAGCACATTCTAAACCAGAATGGTAAATAATACTATCAGCAAGATGACATATTATCAGTAACATAACATAATATTGCTATTAGTGACATACATCATAACCAGAAATGGACTGCAATAACGCAAGCTATGCTTCCACCATACCACTGTATATTTAATCCCATTGAACATGTTTGGCACCAACTGAAATCTGCCATTCGTCGTAACAATGTTTTTCCCCGTGTTAACTCCAATGTCCTCAAACTTATAGAAACCGAAGTTTTTAACATCCCTCCACAAAGTTGGGCAAATTCTGTTAAACATATAGAAAAAGCACAAACAATCGTGCATCCATATTGCAAATAATATAGAACAAATAATGATACTGACATATTATGTGAATAATTTTAAGTAATTTAAGTAGCTAATAAAGATAATTTGTAATTTTAGTTTAGATTTAAAAAAAATATTGTTTAGTATCTTTCTTAACAAAACCCCAAATAATTAAATTCTAAGCAAAGTAGGGACCTGTTCGGCCATATATCATTCTTACAGCTTACCCGGGTCTTTCCTTAATTCGTATCAGTTAGTCACTTTCTTATATCTATGAACAGACTTTACCTGTATTACATGAGTTGCACAGAAACTTTCACAGGAAGCATAAATTGGAAAAGTTATTTCAGCACTTTAACAAATGTATGATGCGATGATTTTTTTAAAAATGTTTTCTGGTAATTTATAAAACTCCCAAGAATCTCTGAAAAGTGGATTACTTTGATTACAAAAACCTTTGCTAGTTCTGATATTTTGCCTTTTTTGTACTGTGCTCTCTAAGTATAAATTTCACTCGCAAAGATAAGATTTGAGTTGGATTTTTGTTCTTCAATAGTGTACTTAACCGTGAGACACTGAACTCTCTGTACCGATTCTAGGCGTATGCCAGTCTGTCATTTGAAAAGAGAACTTTTAATATTTCGTTTTTCAGGATTTGCATAGATTTTCTTTTCTTTTCTTTTATTCTAGAGTGAACAGTTGGATAATTTCGTAATCTAAACAATGCATTGACGGCAGGGGCTACTGTTTTATGTAATTGTCAATATAGTCGGTCCAATTCGAATTATCACCTATATTATTAGACCAATTATCCTACCACATCCTCAGCAAATGCAAAATATCGTACCATCAAACCTGAATCCTCCAAATTAAGATCATACCTACATATATTCATCGCGACGTTGCCAAGTTATTCAGATTTATAAAGATGCAACCTTTAATATAATATAAAAAATGGTCCTTAAGATGGTCAAATGTATTATTGTAAGGCGCCTAATTATCTCATACAGGGAGTTCACTAAATTCTTGCTTAAATTGAAGAATTTGTAAATCATTATTTTTCTCTTATTTTTTAAATGGAATCCCCATTCAATAACAAAATGTTGGAAACAGTGATGAATAGCCGCATTATTGTACACCGTCACCATGTGCATATATAACCTAAAGTAGCAACCAAACTTACTAACCAAAACTATATTCATTATATATTATAATAAAAAAATAAATAAGAACTAAAAGTTCAGATTTTCACGAAATTATATATTATGACATGACAATTGTTTCGACAACACCGTGTCTTTATCAAATGTAATATTTACAAACTACCTGCTACTATATATACCGAAAAATGACCATAAAACCTTAATTAACGCTGTTGCGAGAATTTAAGTTCAATAAAGGAGAGGTATTTAAATCAAACTGATAGTTAAGCGATACATTTGAATGTCTCATTTTGTTAATCTCCATGGCTTCCAATAAATTTAATTTTCTACTTTTTGTGGCTGTATGTAAAATATTAAAATTGTCGTAAAAAATGTGTTTTTCTGTGTTTAAGTGTGTAGCATAATTAGAATCTGTCATGTCATAATATATAATTTCGTGAAAATCTGAACTTTCAGTTCTTATTTATTTTGATAAATGGATTTTCATCAAGTAAAAGTCACCTCAGTTCAATATATTATAATAATTGGCAAGTTGTAAAAAATAATGAAATAAAATATAAGCTCAGTTTTTGAAAATGAATTGTCTGTTTAGCAAAGAGTCATGTTAGCTTGTCAGTAAAAAAATTTTTTTTGGTGTGTAATAGTAAAAAAAACTGAATTTAACTCAGCCAAAAATATAAGCTCTCCCGCTTATGTTTTCCTTCCCGTATGTGATACGATGATAGGTCGAATTTCTGAATTCTGAAATTTTTAAATTTAAGATATGATCAATTTTCAGGCTGGAACTGGCGAAATAACACCATAACCATAATAAATCGCTTGAAAATCATACCAGGAACGGTTTAGGCTCCTAAATTAGTACAAACGGGTAATGACACGAAAAGAAGTCTTATTAATTTAGGCGAAACTTCGCCGCCAAAGGATGGGCAGCGTTTCGGG